TAATCATCTCAAAATTGTAGATGATCACGTGGGACTCATTTAATTCATAAATCATTTTTCTTCAATTTATCTCATAATTCACGAGTTAAAAATGACTTAATTTTAGATTTTCTTTAAAAGAATATTATTATAGATTGTCGGTAATATTAAGCAAACCTCAATCTAACTCTTCCACTTTAATACATCCAAAAATCGTACTCCAATAGATGAGGGGTGGTAAAGACTATGATGGACCACAAATTTCCCGAGTTTCAAAAAGGAAAAAATAAAATAAAATTAAGATCAATGTTGGTGCCGTTATAAAAACGTTATCAAAACGCCAAACAATGTAACATCTAACTATTACTCATCTTTTATAAATGTGTAATCATTTAAAAATTATTTTACAATCAATGTAACATTTAATTATCGAATACACGACAACAAGTTTTAAAGAGCAAGACATGTTAATTTTTGTCAAAATCCAATATTAAGCCTTATACTTTTCTCATTTTCTCATACAAACCCTGAAAAAAAGTAGCATACAACTTCTTAAACATTAGAAATTAAGTAAATTAGCACTTGTGTTAATAACGAAATCAAGTGTAATGATATAAATTAAATAATTATTTATATTTTTGTTTTTGTGATAATTTTTTTTATACTTAGATGTTGATATAATAATTTATTTATACTTAAAAATTGATAATACATAACTTAAAATTTTTAAAATTAAAAAGTAAACAACTAAATAAGCATCTAAATATAAAAAAAATTACCACACAAGCAAAAACAACAAACGACTATTTAATTTACATATCCACACATAATATTACTTTTAACATAAGGGTTACTTTACTCAAATATAAGTATTTAAATGTTTATATGTCATTTTCTTTCTTTGAAAACTTATGTGAGAAGGTAGGAAAAGTCTAGAGCCTTAAATTAAAACTACTTTTTGCCTAATGCTTTCGCTTTACATTTGTACGAGCCACGTGTAGCCAAAAGAGGAGTTTCGTGATGGTCGGGGATCTTGATGGAGACCTTCCAATTTATTCTGTAGGCACCAAATCCTCGTATCATCATTTTAATATACAGGTGTCAAGTACTGTTGAGCGGAAAAAAATCACATTAATGAAACAACAACAGAACTTATATAGAGTTTAAGCTAAGAAATATTAAAAGATTATTTAATACAATGATTTAAAATTAATAATTATTATTAACGATCTAAATAA